TTGCTAGCACAGACTGGAATACGTTCCGGGATTTTCCAATGGCATTGAGGAGTACACCACATCAGTCACTGGCTTCATCAATAAGTGCATTGATGATGTCATCCCCACAGTGACTGTACGTGCATACCCCAACCAGAAGCTATGGATTACAGGCAACACTGAGCTAAAGGGTAAAGCTGCCGCTTTCAAGGAGCAGGACTCTAACCCGGAAGTTTATAAGAAATCCCGCTATGCCCTCCGACGAACCATCAAACAGGCAAAGCGTCAATACAGGACTAAGATCGAATCGTACTACACTGGCTCCGACGCTCATCGGATGTGGCAGGGCTTGCAAACTATTACAGACTACAAAGGGAAGCACAGCCGCGAGCTGCCCAGTGACACGAGCCTACCAGACAAGCTAAATTACTTATATGCTCGCTTCAAGGCAAGTAACACTGAAACATGCATGAGAGCATTAGATGTTCCGGATGACTGTGTGATCACGCTCTCCTTAGCCGATGTGAGTAAGACCTTTAAACAGGTCAACATTCACAAGGCTGCAGGGCCAGATGGATTACCAGGACGTGTACTCCGCGCATGCGCTGACCAACTGGCAAGTGTCTTCACAGACATGTTCAACCTCTCTAAATTTCAAGCCTCTGCCTCTAACCCTAGGAAGCTCTTTGCCACCTTCTCCTCCCTGCTGAATCCTCCTCCTCCTCCCCCTCCCTCCTCCCTCTCTGTGGATGACTTCGTCAACCATTTTGAAAAGAAGGTTGACGACAACCGATCCTCATTTATTAAGTCAAATGACACCGCTGGTCCTGCTCACACTGCCCTACCCTATGCTTTGACTTCTTTCTCCCTTCTCTCTCCAGATGAAATCTTGCGACTTGTGACGGTCGGCCGCCCAACAACCTGCTCACTTGACCCTATCCCCTCCTCTCTTCTCCAGACCATTTCCGGAAACCTTCTCCCTTACCTCACCTCGCTCATCAACTCATCCTTGACCGCTGGCCATGTCCCTTCCATCTTCAAGAGAGCGAGAGTTGCACCCCTCCTCAAAAAACCTACACTCGATCCCTCCGATGTCAACAACTACAGACCAGTATCCCTTCTTTCTTTTCTCTCCAAAACTCTTGAGCGTGCCGTCTCTAGCCAACTCTCATGCTATCTCTCTCAGAATTACCTTCTTGATCCAAACCAGTCAGGTTTCAAGACTGATCATTCAACTGAGACTGCTCTTCTCTGTGTCACGGAGGCTCTCCGCACTGCTAAAGCTAACTCTCTCTCCTCTGCTCTTATCCTTCTAGACCTATCCGCTGCCTTTGATACTGTGAACCATCAGATACTCCTCTCCACCCTCTCCGAGTTGGGCATCTCCGGCGCTGCTCACTCTAGGATTGCATCCTACCTGACAGGTCGCTCCTACCAAGTGGCGTGGTGAGAATCTGTCTCCGCACCACGTGCTCTCACCACTGGTGTCCCCCAGGGCTCAGTTCTAGGCCCTCTCCTATTTTCTCTATACACCAAGTCACTTGGCTCTGTCATATCCTCACATGGTCTCTCCTATCATTGCTACGCAGACGACACACAATTCATTTTCTCCTTTCCCCCTTCTGATAACCAGGTTGCGAATCGCATCTCTGCATGTCTGGCAGATATATCAGTGTGGATGTCGGATCACCACCTCAAGCTGAACCTCGGCAAGACGGAGCTGCTCTTCCTCCCAGGGGAAGGACTGCCCGCTCCATGATCTCGCCATCACGGTTGACAACTCCATTGTGTCCTCCTCCCAGAGTGCAAAGAACCTTTGCGTGACCCTGGACAACACCCTGTCGTTCTCCGCTAACATCAAAGCGTTGACCTGATCCTACAGGTTCATGCTCTACAATATTCGCAGAGTACAACCCTACCTTACACAGAAAGCGGCACAGGTCCTAATCCAGGCACTTGTCATCTCCCGTCTGGATTACTGCAACTCGCTGTTGGCTGGGCTCCCTGCCTGTGATCCTACAACTTATCCAGAACGCTGCAGCCCGTCTGGTGTTCAACCTTCCCAAGTTCTCTCATGTCACCCCGCTCCTCCGCACACTCCACTGGCTTCCAGTTGAGGCTCGCATCTACTACAAGACCATGGTGCTTGCCTACGGAGCTGTGAGGGGAACGGCACCTCCTTACCTTCAGGCTCTGATCCTACACCCAAACAAGGGCACTACATTCATCCACCTCTGGCCTGCTAGCTCCCCTACCTCTACGGAAGCACAGTTCCCGCTCAGCCCAGTCAAAGTTATTCGCTGCTCTGGCACCCCAATGATGGAACAAGCTCCCCCACGACACCAGGACAGCGGAGTCATTGACCACCTTCCGGAGACACTTGAAACCCTACCTCTTTAAGGAATACCTGGAATAGTATAAAGTAATCCTTCTACCTCCCCCCCCCCCCCCCCCCTCCCCCACCCCCCCATAAAAAAATTAAGTTGAATGCACCAATTTGTAAGTCGCTCTGGATAAGAGCATCTGCTAAATGATGTAAATGTAAATGTAACAACACATCCGCCACGCTGATCCTCAACACGGGTCCCCTCAGGGGTGCATGCTCAGTCCCCTCCTGTACTCCCTGTTCAGTCATGACTGCATGGCCAGGCATGACTCCAACACCATCATTACGTTTTCCGATGGCCTGAACATCAACAACGACGAGACAGCCTATAGGGAGGAGGTCAGAGACCTGGCCGTGTGGTGCCAGGACAACAAGCTCTCCCTCAACGTGATCAAGACAAAGGAGATGATTGTGGACTACAGGAAAAAGAAGTGGACCGAGCACGCCCCCATTCTCATCGACGGGGGCTGTAGTGGAGCAGGTTGAGAGCTTCAAGTTCCTTGGTGTCCACATCCCCCACAAACTAACATGGTCCAAGCACACCAAGACAGTGGTGAAGAGGGCACGACAAAACCTATTCCCCCTCAGGAGACTGAAAAGATTTGGCATGGGTCCTCAGATCCTCAAAAGGTTCTACAGCTGCACCATCGAGAGTATCCTGACTGGTTGCATCACTGCCTGGCATGGCAACTGCTCGGCCTCCAACCGCAAGGCACTACAGAGGGTGGTGCGTACGGCCCAGTTCATCACTGGGGCCAAGCTTCCTGCCATCCAGGACCTCTGTACCATGCGATGTCAGAGGAAGGCCCTAACAATTGTCAAAGACTCCAGCCCCCCTAGTCATAGACTGTTCTCTCTGCTACCGCATGGCAAGCGGTACCGGAGCGCCAAGTCTAGGTCCAAGAGGCTTCTAAACAGCTGCTATCCCCAAGCCATAAGACTCCTGAACATCTAATCCAGACTCCTGAACATCTAATCCAGTACCCAGACTATTTGCATTTTTTATTATTATTTAAATTTTTGGGGTATTCTTTCTTAAAACTGCATTGTTGGTTAATGACTTGTAAGTAAGCATTTCACTGTAAGGTCTACACCTGTTGTATTCAGTGCATGTGACAAATAAAATGTGATTTGAAACCCAGGCAGTGCATTCACAAGGTATGCGGATTCCCAGGGGGGATGCCACCATCACACCTGTCACAATGGGAAGCCATAAGCTCAGCCAAGCCAACAAGGCCACTGAGTAGGGGTCCGGGAGAGCTTATGTCGTGACCTGCTTGGAGGAATAGGAACCTGGTGAGGGATAAATGACCCAGTACCTCTGCAAAAAACCGGGGCAGACCAGTGTGGGAGAAACAGGCAGACAAAAAAACAGCAACCAGGTAATGGATTTGATTTATTTGTTTTTGTTGTTTTTGTTTTACGCCAACTGCAATATTAGCATTACATTACACGCAATTCACAACACACACACAGTCTGTGCAGCAAGAGCCACCATACTAATGGATGCACACGGAGTCGTAGTGTAACGCTAACGAAACACAGGTACGACAAACCACGGGCGGAAGATCAACCGCGCGCAGCGAGTGGAGCACTCAAGAGGAGGGGCTGGCTATGTATTCAGCTGCTCCAGGCTGCAAACAGCCAGTGAGTATACTTCCACGCAAGATATTACACTTAACAGTGACTTACCAAGTTTAATCCTCAAACCACACGGACGTCCACCGAGAAAATGAAAGAGAACGTGTGTCGCGGCCATGGGTCTATATATAGGGGCTGACCCCAGCCGTGACACAGGTGTACGCGGGAGTAAATCAGTAAATCCTCACCTCGGAAGTATCCCTCCGCCACGGAGTGATACCAATATATTGGAGTGATACAATATAGTGAAACATAAACATATTGTTTCAGTTGATAATAAAACATGTTTTGTTTAGATACTTTTTCCTCAACTTGTTTTTATAACTTTCTAGCAAATCAAGCTATCTTATAGAGCAGCTAAAAGCTAAGCCAGAGCTCTCCAATCCTATTCCTGGAGAGCTACCCTTCTGTATATTTTCACTTCAACCTCAGTTGTAACTAACCTGATTCAGTTTATCAACCAGCTAATTATTAGTATCAGGTTCGCTAGATTAGGGTTGGAGTGAAAACCAGGACAATAGCCCTCCAGGAACAGGGTTAGAGAGCCCTGAGCTAGGCTATACTGTAGCTAGTGACCTCCACCTAATAATTATAATCAAAAACAAACATCATTACCATCACAATAAACTAAAACAGAAGGCAATATTCATAAAGTACAATTGGCTTAACAGCCAATGTGTGTTATCTTTAACATACTATTAAAATAATACTTCATTATTTACAAGTTGCTAACTATCCCATAATATAATATAAATAGTCGAAAACCACTTATTTTCATCTTCTTCTGTGGTTTGTTAACTTCTTATTCTTCGACAGACTCTGGCCGGACTGAAGAAGACTCAGATTTAGAAAAAGTGTGATTATGGTTAATGTGAATGAGGCTTGTCTCAAATAACCAAATATCCACCCATATATATTCACTCTTGGAAACTACAATAGCAAAAAGTATGAAGGTAAATGAATACCTCTCTCAGAGGAGCTACTGTCTGTTTTCCTATGGTTTCCTCTTTCTCTCACCTGCAGAGCAGTCGTCTCCAGCGAAGCCCTCTTGGCAGACACAGAAGCCTTCCCTACAGATGCCCTTCTGACTACAGTTGTTGGCGCAGTAGGCCAAGGAGCAGTCTTCTCCTACGTATCCTGGGCGACACTGGCAGGTTCCGTTGGTGCACAGCCCTTGGTCAGAGCAGTCGTTGAGGCAGCGACCCAGCGTACAGTCCTCTCCAGTGAAGTTCTCCTCACAGATACACTCCCCATCCATGCACAGCCCTCGACCGGAGCAGTCCGCCGGGCAGCGGGGCTCCGAGCAGTTGTCCCCTCCGAAGTCGCGGTCACACATACACTCGCCCTCCATGCACACTCCCTGTCCGGAACAGTCGTCTGGGCAGCGCGGCTCGGAGCAGTTCTTGCCCGTCCAGCCGTCCTCACACACACAGCCACACAGGTCCATTTTGAAGCTGCCGTGGCCACTGCACTGAGGAATGAAGTCCAGGTGACCTAGAGGAAGAAATGAGAACAGAAAACAACATCACTAAATATACTGTATGCTTTACTAATGTCAACATCATCTGTTGTAACAGTGTACGTTTTCAAACAATGTAACAGAGTAACAGTCTAAAAATAAAGCTATGAACACTAAGAAATCCCCAGGCTTTCATATCCTGGTGCTATCTACTCAAACCAAGACGCTCAGTAACTGAATGAAATGAAAGCCTGACAATCCACATTGGCCTCAAATTAGCCTATGACCAGGGTACAGTAGCTCTAATAATACTGTCAAGCTGTACTATTATTCCCCACTTACCCATGGCTGAATTCTCCCCACAGCCACAGTTGCCAGAGCTGCACTGGGCCCTCAGCAGCGACATCTCTCTCTCCAGCATCTCGATGCGGGTGGCCAGCTGCTGCACAATGTTGGCTGCGGGACAGGCACAGGCCTGTTTGGGGATGTTGATGCGGTGGGTGAAGGTGACCTGGCTGTCTGCGTCCACTGTCTGCTCTGTGAACTCCGTGGGGCCCTGCCCACCCCAACTGGACACAGCCTCTCTGGTGGCCTGGCTGGGTGGAGGCACTGCTGAGTCCAGATCCACCGAGCACAGAGACTCATTGGGCACGTTGATGTTGTACACATGGTTGAAGACCATTGGCTGCTCCTTGTTGGTCTGGTTGTTAGATGGGCTGGTGGGGCCATCTGAAGGGGCCTGTCGTCTGACCCTGATGGTCCGGACCAGCTTCCCCTCCTCACCGGACGGGGATGGAGCAGCCTGGGTCCCCAGAAGGAGTAGAGCCAGGCCCAGCAGCCAGCCTCGTGCAGGGCCCATGGTGAACCACCACGGCGTTAGAGCCATGAACCTAGAGATAGGGCTCTCCTGACACCACCGTACTTACCGGCAGACTTCTGATAGGATCTACAGAGGAGAGATAAAAAAAGAAAAACTGTGGTGGGTGGTTGAGTAGGGTTTTGGGATTTGGGGTTTGCCTCTGTTCCAAAAATTGAAAATAGTCTTTGATCTATTGTGAAAGAATAATTGGCTTGGAAAAGAACTGGATGCTTATGGGATGTTTAGAACCCCTAAATATATTTCTGCACACAACACCAAATATTTGATTTTTCCCACAGGAGAGGGATGTTGAAATATTGAGCACATAGAACATGTTGATACAGGGATTCAATAGAGCCATTGCTTTAGTGATTTTTCCTTCTACTGTAATCCTCTCTCTCCAGCGACTGGGCTGAGGACAGGAACAAACCGCAGAATGAATCACATTGAGGGACTGCTTCCCAACTACAAAAGCCCCTGGTCAGAAAGTGATTATCTGCGATGACATTTTTCCATCTCTGTTAGACAGACTAGACAGAGGGCTTTTCTAAAACGATGAAGTATTTTATCAAAGCTCAATCGGCAGAATAAAAGTGAGACTTACACTAAATGACACATGCTCTCTGTTCATGGAGGAAAAATGACTTTTTACCAGGACACAAATCAAACTGTGTATAAGGTTGTGTCTCTCAGATGTATCTTTAGGAAGTCAAACACAGCATGCCAAGAAGCCTGCGGAGTCTCAATGCATGAAGCCTTTTTCAAAAGGATGTATCTGATATTGAAAATCAGCTTCTTCTTTTTTTACCGAAAAGCCCACTTGTGAAAGGGAAGTCAACCTTTCAAATTATTCTCTTGTTTTTTATCACAAAGCAGGGCAATTCCCCTAGACTCCATATTTTAAACCAACCACAAGCATGAGGTTTGCAGTTCATGTCATTACTGCTAATATTTAAAGGTTACTTATGAGCACAGCACCCTCAAGGTGAGAGCATACAACCAACTTGGTGCATGTGTGCTAAACTGATACAGTCATTATAAAACTGAAGACGAGACAGTGTATAAGTCACTCCAGGGATTTGAGAGGTGGGAGATATGTTCAATTATAAATATACCACGGCTAAGGGCTGCATCCAGGCACTCCGCGTTGTGTTGTGCAAGCTGAACAGTCCTTAGCCGTGGTATATTGGCCATATACCACACCCCCTCGTGCCTTATTGCTTAAATAAACTGTGTGATATACTGTAACATATTAGGTTCAGCTGCTATATCTTCATATACGACTTTGGCCTTGGGAACAGGTACATTTTTAAACCCTCCCCACGCCCGTAGAGAATGGGAAATGTCCTCATGCGAAAAACTCAAGCCATTTAACCAGCGAATCCACCAAATAATTGAGAACCAGAAAGATGAGAAAGAGATCAAATTATTTTCATACCCATTAACTAGTGCAGGGTCCCTTTGATTAAAGTGAAAACGTGGTACATGCAGTTCTATAGTCAAATTGACATGTTCAGTAAAAGGCCCTGAATGTCTCTCTGACTCACGCTCAGTCACACAGACGGGGACTTGTATAACGGTCTTGCTCCTCTATGCCACAGCAACTGAGATACACCAAGTTCAGTTTCGTTTCGTTTATTTGCACAAATATGCATACTGTGAGTAAAAAACATACTATTTTACCCACTTTATATGTATATACAGTACTGTATTCTAGTCATGGCCAGTATGAAAAATGTATGCACTCACTAATTGTAAGTTGCTCTGGATAAGAGCGTCTGCTAAATGACTAAAATGTCAATTGGATCACAAAATTTTTAAAAAATGGCTCATCCTATATAACTGCTCTATACACACCATTTACATATACTGTTATATAGGATGAGCCATGACTAGAATACAGTACTGTATATACATATAAAGAGGGTAAAATAGTATGTTTTTTACTCACAGTATGCATATTTGTGCAAATAAACTAAACAAAACTGAACTTGGTGTATCTCAGTTGCTGTGGCATAGAGGAGCAAGACCGTTACACAAGTCCCCGTCTGTGTGGCTGAGCGTGAGACAGAGAGACATTCAGGGCCTTTTATTGAACATTGCTTGTTCTGATGTTGCTCGTTCTGATATTAAAAAAAAAAACATTTTGGTTATTAATTGTATACTGCACTGTTGAAACATAAGCATTTCGCTGCACCTGCTCTAACATCTGAAAATCTGTGTACGTGACAATAAACTTTAATTGATTTGATGCCCTCATTGCCCTGCTCTCCAGCTCAGGCATCATATGGGCTGAATTTATGAAAGTTCTATAGAGAGAGACTATAGGGAGTCATAGGAAGTTTAGCATTTGCAGTGGTCAAACAGCGTTTGGAGACAATTGGGTTTCATCAAGGCCTGTTGTCAGGCCTCAATTAGGATGCCTCTAAATTAGAAGTGACAAAGAGGAGGATGAGGATCAACACCAACGACTATCTCAATTTACTCTTCAGGAGCAAGGTGTTTTATCACACATTTCCGCCCTGGATGCACTTACTGGTCATCCTCCTGACTTGACCGTAATGAGAACTGACAGCGTGGCGGCTCACAATCCTCCGGCCGCCGGGCTGCCTACTGCTGAATGGGTGAAAGTGAAGAGGCACTGTGGGAGCTGGGAGCACGTTGACAAGTCAGGAAATTAGTTTGGCACTACTATGGCATGTTGCCATTTTAGGCTATACCCTGTAATGACTAGTAGTGTGAACGTGAGTAGAGTACCTGCTAAGGTAGATGACCAGAGAACAATAGTGTCAGTTTTCCTGAAAGTGGTCATTTTCTCGGGAAATTGAATGTGAATTGGTTCTCCCAGCTGACCCCCCGCTAGCTGGAATGATTTTTTTTTAACACTGAGGCATAAAGCAATTCTGTTCAAAGTTTATGATCATGAACCCTATAAAACTGGCTGCCAGAAACAATATAAAATATACAAACTGTACTTTACATAATACACATTTGGGTACACACTCTGACAACACACTCTGACTGGACACTCTGTAAGCACCGGCAGCTTTGGGATGCCATTGACAAGCATTACACAGAAATCCATAAGTGACCTGAGCAGGCAGATAATTCACCAAAAGAAAGCCATTTTAATTTCCCTGTGCACCCAAAAGCATGCTTAAAAGCATGTTTTAAAAAGAGTTGTAAAGCCTTGATCTTAGCCAGATACATCTTTTCTTTCAGAGACCAGTCATAAGCTGAATATCCCTTTCATCCAAAGCTTTCTTTTTATGGCTCAGGCTGGAGATGATACAAGAGAAGAGTTGAAATATGCATACTCCAATTATGCACAGAATCAGGTTTTGTCTTAATGATGTAGAGAGAGAGGTTTAAAAAGAGAACTTTTCTCACAAAGTGTCATTGAAGGCAGTGAAGAGGGATGACTCGAGAGAGCTCCACTCCTCACCACATATCACAGAGGAACAAAAGCAGAGTATCAGCACAGGCAATAATGAAACACACAAATCTTGTCACGCATTTTAAGCAGCCATTCCAATAACAAATATACTGAGCCTTCCCTATATCCTGACCATCTGCTTTCACCTTGAACATAACATTACCACCAAGCAGGACCATGCAATAACTCCTGTCTGTTGACGGCCAATAGCACTTTTCAGTCTCACAGAGAACAGGTACCAGGCTGCCTGGGGCTTGATTGAAATGTCAGGACAAGGAGCATGTATGACAAAAGCTTATTTGGAATAAATAGCATGTCTGGATGTTTGAAAAATATAATTGTGTGCTGAGCCTGTGGTCTAGCCGTAACGCTCCCGGCCAGTCACACATACTGACCCCCACCGGAGACCGGGGTTCAATCGCTGTGTCCACCCTTCCTACTGTTCTCCAACTTGACTGGCTTCCGCATCTTTTTCCAACTGTCGAAATATATATCTATTTTTAAATATAAGTAACAAAAAAATATATATAATTATGTTACAGTTGTCTTATACCTGTGTAGTAATGGTGAAATTACACAAGTAACACCATTGTTCTGTTGTAGGTTAGTGGTAGGTTGTTGTAGGTTGGTACAACTGTTGTATGTTGTCAAATGTATGCAAACTTATGTTTATGATGGGTATATTATGCCAATGGAAAACTTACCTCAAGAGTGTCTGATCTGATCAACAGTAATTATAATCATTGTGTTTTATGTGAAATTGCCCGATGATCCTGACTCTGAGTGTATTTACTGTCTAATGAGCTCATAAATGAAGGAAATACCGTAGGGAAGTATACAAATACAACGTACAGTAAGATGCTAAAAGCTACATGGTGTTACCGCTAGAGTAGGTCAAGAAATACATGAACCTTTCCCCTAACATAACACACAATCCTATTTGTCTGCTGAGCATTAAATCTTGAGATGTCTAAATCATACTGTAATAAGGAGATAGCAGAGATGCTGCAATTGCAACCTTTCACAGTGTGCAATGAGTGACATTCTGAATTACCTACAGTAAGGTTTTATATTAGACAAAAAGGCACAAAGATCGATTGCTCAGATTCTAAAGGATATGAAGGCTAGGATACACCACAAAACCAGGACCAGAAAATGGTTAGAAAGAAATCATGTTACTAGGCTAACTCTTGTTGTTTTATATGTACTTCTAATCAACTTCAAAACAAGAGAAAAAGAAAATTGAATTTCATCTGATGGGAATATACTTTTGTAAAATGTGACTATTCAACACTTTGCTCTCATTTCGATATGCTTTCATTTCTCATTCAGCTGCCATTACACTGAGAGGTTCTTAAAGAGGTGTTACACAAGCTATTACACCACATTCTGCAATATATATGTGAGCGGCATTGATGTTTCCTCCCTCCCTGGTGCCGTGCTAGATCACAGTGTCCCCCGGCACCCTCAGGGAATAGCATCCGACGCTCTGCATATCTTTATAAACTCAGCTTATCTGAGTGGGACAGAGGCCTAAAGCCTTTTGACTTCTCCTCCCTACTCCTCCCTTCTCTTCCAAGTACTGACCATT